AGATTGGGTTTTAGGTTTAACTTTTATTTTATAATTGTGGAAAACATTTAAGATATAAAAATTTAAAAAGGTTCAGTTATTCAGAAATTTTTTTGGGTTTTGGGGTGAGTAATTGTCTTTGAGAAGAGCTTAAATTTTTATAAACGGGAAAGTTTTTCTTTTATATTTACGGAAATGATTTCCCAGTTTTGGGGGTTTTAGTGAAATTGAGTTTTCCCATAGGTGGGGAGGACACGGGGAAACTTTAAAAGGGTGTTTCTGTCCCTTTGTTAATGGTCATGGTTTTTGTTGGGGTTGGCAAGGAGATTTTTTGAGGGGGGGGTTTTAATATCAAGTTAAGGTTAAAAATGTATGTAATAGGGGGCATAATAAGTATGAAGGGTTTTGTATGGGGTGGGGTTTAGGGGTATTAATTTTTGGGTGGATTTGTGTTTGCCTATAGGGGAAAATTTTGTTATATCAACTGCGGGCCTTTTTGTTGGGAAATTTAGGGGGTCTAAAGGATGGTTACTTGTTGTTGAGCCCCATGCAAAAATTCCCTTTAGGTGAGATGGGGTAAATAAGAGAGTGTTAAGGGCCAGGGGGGCTGACGTGGACCCATAAGTACCGTTTTCGATGTACCCTCAGTCTTGGAAATTTTTTTAGAAATTTGTTGTATATGTGTATGAAAATTTGAGTCTTTTATCAAGGGGTTTCCCTTAAAAATTTTTTCCCCTTGTTGCTTTGTGAAGGTGACCCTTTTATATTTTTTAAGAGGGACACCCTGTAGTTTTTCCCAAATAAATAAAGTGGGTTTTTTCAATTTTTGTGAAAGTTTGTTAGCCCTCACCCAGGTAGAAAATTTTTGAAATTCGGAATTTCCCAGTTTTGGCTATTTTTGATGGCCCGGGTGGGAGAATCGTATGTAGTGCCCATTTTCAAAAAGTGTGGGTTTGAGAAATTGCAAAGCTTTTTTGGTAGGTCATTTATGTTGGGGAAAAAAGAAGGGGCCCAAGGACATTTCCCCTGGGGGAAGCCAACAAAAAGGGGGTTTGTCCCAAAAGGGTTTTTCCCCCAAAATTTGCATACACAAAATTGGCTTTGTTGCTGGGGTATGACTTGGGGTAGTTGGGGGAGTCCCCTTTAAACCATATGGGGAAATTTTACGTGGAGCAACCCTGGTTAACTGTATAAAAATTTTTAGTAAGTTCAATGAAACCCCCCCCGTGGGACTTTTTTTTTTCTCTATTGCAGTGTAAAATTGTTCTAGGGATGGGGTAAAATAGATCATTAGTATTTTTTTTTTGGCCTGAATCCAACTTGGCAGGGGTTGAGTATGTTTTTGGGGGATAAGGTGGAGTTTGATTGGGTTTTTTAATTAATTTTTCGAAAATTTTTGAGAGAGGGTGTAAGTGGATATTGGCCTTTAGTTATTCAACTCTGTTTTTTGGGCTTTCCCCCTTTTGGGGTCGGTTGACCCCTTTCTATTTTGGTACTGTAGGGAAAGTGGGGGATTCAAAAGGATTTTTTTAAAGAGTGTTTTCAATGATTGGGGGTTAGCACTTTTGGGCATTTTTTTATAAAAAAAGGGGGGGTAAGGTAATTTAAAACTCCTGCCTTGTTTTTTTTGCGTTTGATAAAAAGGGAGACTCGTTGGGTTAGTCGGGGGGGTAGGAAAAAGAGGTTCGGGTAGTTGCCCTTAGGGATTCCCTTTGGGGGTATCTTAGTTGGGTTTTATTTTGGGAAAAGGGTTTTTTCCATAGTGGAGAAGAAGTCATTGAGTTGTTTGCTGTTTTTTGGTTTGGGGGAGTTGGGGTTTATCTGATTTTTCTAATTTTTTTTTGCTTTTCGTGATATTTTTTTTTTGTTCCAGAATTTTTGATAGGGGGTTTTTTGGGCTTTTTTTTATCAAACCTCGTAAGTTGGTTTAATCGTTCCATAAAATCAATTTTTTTTGGGCCCCTTTTTATCAGGGTGGTTAGGTTGACGGGGTAAAAATTTTGTTTTGGGCTCTGGTTATGTGACCCCCCCTGTACTGTTTTTATATTGGTTTTTTTGTATTTTGGGGTTTGAGAAGCCCGGGTGTTAAAACCGGGGCTGTTTTAGTCTCTTATTTTCTCTGTTTTTTTTTTTTTTAGGGGAGTGCTTGGTTTTTAAAAGGTATTGGGTTTTTTTTTAGAAAATTATTAATACCTTCGTCAATATCTGTTTTAGATTTCTAGCTCAAAGTGCCAGTCAATGTTTGCTACTGCTGTTGTGAAGTTATTAAAAGGCCTTTCCTCATTGTGAATTCCCGAAGGGGACTTTGTAGTGTCTTGGGGGGAATTTACCCAAAATTTTTTATGGAAAAATAGGGTAGTGGTCTGTGGGATTATCTGTAATTTTGTTTATTTTTTAAAAGGGGTTTGGTTTGGGGCCCGATTGGTCAAGTAGGGAAAAAATAGTCTCTGTAAAATCTTGTAGGTTTTTTTTTAACCCGTTGGGGACAACATTTCGTTAAATCATTGTGTTTTTTGAAATTTAGAAAGTTGGGGGGGTCCTGGTCTTGCAGGGGAAAATTTTTATTGAAGTCACCTGAATTTGTAAAATGATCTTTGTTCATGCGTGCTCGTTATCATACTTTCCCAGGTTTTGAATAAATTGGCTTTAAAGTTTTAAGTGGAATCGTAAATGTTTTCAAGGGGAGAGGGTTTTTTTGGTATTTGGATTTAATTTGGCTATTATATAAATTTCCCCTGTTCATCCCTTGTGCAAGTTTTTGTGATCCAAATTTTTTTTTGGTCTGAGAATATATGGCTGTGCCACCCCCCGTTGGTTGGCCTACAGTTGTGTTTTGGGTGGGTTTTTAACAAGGAATGGCATTTGACATCTGTTTCTTCAGGGTTTAAGCCCCGGTTTCAGTTAGGGTTAAAAGATGGACAATTGGCATGTAAGGGAAATTTTTTAATTCTATGAGGTCTCTTAAAGCTTGCTTTTAAAGAAAAAAAAAAAAAAAACTGAAATTTTTTTTTAGTTTTTAAAAAAAAGGGTTTTGTTGTTTTTGGCACTGAGAAGTGCCTTTGATTGTTCCCGCAGTGTAGTAATTACAGTAATTTTGATTCAATTTAAGCAAATTTAAAAAAGAGGTTGGTATCAGGATCAATGCCCTTTTAATCATAAAATTTTTTAGTGGGAAACTATAGTTAGAAAATTTGTAAAAAAAAAAGTAAATAGTCTTAAGGGTAAAAAAAAAGCACCCCGAATTATTTAACAAATGTAAAAAAATGACTAAGGTAGTTTTAAGCTAAAAAAAAGGAAAAACCAAAATAAAAGGACTAATTTCAAAATTTAAAATGAAATCAAAAAAATGGGTTTGGGGAAAATGATAGTGGTAGTTAAAAAAGGTAAATTTTTTAAAGTTAGAATTATAGTATTAAAAAAATAATATAAAAGGGACTAAAGAAGTTGTGGAAACAATAAAGTGGTAATCAAATTTAAAAGACTTTGGAAAAATGGCAAAATTTTTAACTTTTTTCTACTTTTGCACCTGAGAAAAGCAAAACCTTTTTTATTTTTAAAAATTTTGAAAGTATAAACTTTGGGGAGTTATAGAAAGCTAAAATAAAGGGTAAAATATAAAGGGACTAAAATTAAGTAATGGTAAACAAAGTTAAATGGACAGGTGGTCACTATGAAATAATATTGGTTTAGGAGTAAGATCTGATTTGTAATATTAAATAAATTGAGCAGTTTATTGCACAATAAAAGTAAAAAAAAAATGAGGTAGTTGGTACTAGCTAGCAAGATAGTTTTGGTACTTGCAAAAAAGTAATTGGAATATACACTAATTGCATACACAATGAAAAGTGACTAAAAAAACAAGTAGTGATAAACAAAAAGATGAAGATGAACATGAAGATTATCAACCAAATATTTAGTTCCTATTGAATAGGATCTTAATTTTTTATATAATCTCGCCTTATATTACAAAACTTAACCTAACCCACAATTTTATGGCTGGTCTAGACCAGGTTAAGTTTGGTCGGGTTACATTATTAATTTGCTAATCAAATTAAAGTTTTTCTCTTATTTGTTTAAAATATGTGTTCACTGCACAACCCATCAGAATATATCTTATATGACTGGACTTGAATTCATTTTTGAGTCGACTTAATTGTCAAGTAGCATTGTGTATGATGTAGAGAGGTGCCGTGTCTGACTTACCTGGGTTATCCTAGGTAATTTACAACTTTACTATGAATACATGTAAACTACCTGGAGTTCATTACCTTTGTGACTAGTTCAGCTATCATAACTTTGGGGTCCAGTCCCTGGACCAATTATGTACCTCTGTAATCTTTTGACTACCGCCCACAGGATGGGTATGGGGTGCATAATAAACATATTAAACTAACTAACTTGTACATATCCAAAACAAAATACAAATACACTTATTAGATATGTGTGACTTCCCCTAATTTACACTTATGACTGTCAACGTAAAATTCTGAACATAGTTTAGCTAGATAATTTTTAAACTAGTCATAAGGTTGTCTAAGACACTCCATTATAGGCAGTGTAATACAAACTTTATCATCCTAAGACAAGATCATTCCCATTAACTGATAAACTAATTGTTTAAATGTTTTGAACTACCTCACTTGTGTAAATCTTGTTAATTAGTACAGTTACCTCATTTTAATACCAGTATGATCATAACCTGTGTTAATATAGAGTAACAAATAGTATTATTCTGCCGGAAATGCCTAGGCCTACTAGTGGCCTTCTTTGTAATAAGTATTTTATTTTATAATTTTATAATATGTAAACCACACATTGTAATCTATACTGAGAAACAAACATCTGAATTTGAAAAATAAATATAATTATGACGTACCTGTATCTAAATAAACTATTAAACATCTTAGTTTTCTAAAGCCTATGTAGTGTATTTTGTGGGAATAAGTTTGTACATGTGTTTATCACACCAGTTTATTCTGAGTATTTTACCCGACACTAGTAAGACCAAGTTACTGACTGACCTGGGTGTGTGTGTGAGGGCAGCCAGAGTCTGGTGTATCCGCTGGTAAAGTACCTCCATGGTGGTGGTGGTGGGCGGCCTGGATGATCACTGAGTGGTGGTGGTGGTGGTGGGCGGCCTGGATGATCACTGAGTGGTGGTGGTGGGCGGCCTGGATGATCACTGAGTGGTGGTGGTGGGCGGCCTGGATGATCACTGAGTGGTGGTGGTGGGCGGCCTGGATGATCACTGAGTGGTGGTGGTGGGCGGCCTGGATGATCACTGAGTGGTGGTGGTGGGGGCCCTGGATGATCACTGAGTGGTGGTGGTGGTGGACGGCCTGAATGATGACTGCATCATGGGCAGCGGACAGTTACTGAAGTGGGGTTGCCGGATACTGGTCCAGGGTGGTAGGTAATGGTGGAGGGTGGTAGGTAGTGGTGGAGGGTGGTAGTAGTGGTGGAGGGTGGTAGGTAGTGGTGATGGGTGGTAGGTAGTAGTGGAGGGTGGTAGGTAGTGGTGGAGGGTGGTAGGTAGTGGTGAATGGTTGGTAGGTAGTGGTGGAGGGTGGTAGGTAGTGGTGGAGGGTGGTGGGTTTAGTGGTGGAGGGTGGTAGGTTAGTGGAGGGTGGTAGGTTAGTGGTGATGGGTGGTAGGTAGTAGTGGAGGGTGGTAGGTAGTGGTGGAGGGTGGTAGGTAGTGGTGATGGTGTGGTAGGTAGTGGTGGAGGGTGGTAGGTAGTGGTGGAGGGTGGTAGGTAGTGGAGGGTGGTAGGTAGTGGTGGAGGGTGGTAGGTAGTGGTGGAGGGTGGTAGGTAGTGGAGGGTGGTGGTAGTGGTGGAGGGTGGTAGGTATATGGTGGAGGGTGGTAGGTAGTGGTGGAGGGTGGTAGGTAGTGGTGGAGGGTGGTAGGTAGTGGTGATGGGTGGTAGGTAGTAGTGGGGGTGGTAGGTAGTGGTGGAGGGTGGTAGGTAGTGGTGATGGGTGGTAGGTAGTGGTGGAGGGTGGTAGGTAGTGGTGGAGGGTGGTAGGTAGTGGTGGAGGGTGGTAGGTTAGTGGTGGAGGGTGGTAGGTATGGTGGAGGGTGGTAGGTAGTGGTGGAGGGTGGTAGGTAATGGTGGAGGGTGGTAGGTAGTGGTGGAGGGTGGTAGGTAGTGGTGGAGGGTGGTAGGTAGTGGTGATGGGTGGTAGGTAGTGGTGGAGGGTGTAGGTAGTGGTGGAGGGTGGTAGGTAGTGGTGGAGGGGGGTAGGTAGTGGTGGAGGGTGGTAGGTAGTGGTGGAAGGTGGTAGGTAGTGGTGGAAGGTGGTATGCAGTGGTGATGGGTGGTAGGTAGTGGAGGGTGGTAGGTAGTGGTGGAGGGTGGTAGGTAGTGGTGGAGGGTGGTAGGTAGTGGTGGAGGGTGCTAGGTAGTGGTGATGGGTGGTAGGTAGTGGTGGAGGGTGGTAGGTAGTGGTGGAGGGTGGTAGGTAGTGGTGGAGGGTGGTAGGTAGTGGTGGAAGGTGGTATGCAGTGGTGATGGGTGGTAGGTAGTGGAGGGTGGTAGGTAGTGGTGGAAGGTGGTAGGTAGTGGTGATGGGTGGTAGGTAGTGGTGGAGGGTGGTAGGTAGTGGTGGAGGGTGGTAGGTAGTGGTGGAGGGTGGTAGGTAGTGCTGGAGGTGGTAGGTAGTGGTGATGGGTGTTTAGGTAGTGGTGGAAGGTGGTATGCAGTGGTGATGGGTGGTAGGTAGTGGTGCAGGGTGGTAGATAGTGGTGGAAGGTGGTAGGTAGTGGTGTGGAAGGTGGTAGGTAGTGGTGATGGGTGGTAGGTAGCGGTGGAGAGTGGTAGGGTAGTGGTGGAGGGTGGTAGGTAGTGTTGGGGGTGGTAGGTAGTGGTGGGAGGGTCGTAGGTAGTGGTGGAGGGTGGTAGGTAATGGTGATGGGTGGTAGGTAGTGGTGGAGGGTGGTAGGTAGTGGTGATGGGTGGTAGGTAGTGGTGGAAGGTGGTATGCAGTGGTGATGGGTGGTAGGCAGTGGTGGAGGGTGGTAGGTTAGTGGTGGGAAGGTGGTAGGTAGTGGTGATGGGTGGTAGTAGTGGTGGAGGGTTGTAGGTAGTGGTGGAGGGTGGTAGGTAGTGGTGGAGGTGGTAGAGGTAGTGGTGATGGGTGTTAGGTAGTGGTGGAAGGTGGTATGAAGTGGTGATGGGTGGTAGGTAGTGGTGGAAGGTAGTATGCGTGGTGATGGGTGGTAGGTAGTGGTGGAGGGTGGTAGGTAGTGGTGGAAGGTGGTAGGTAGTGGTGGAAGGTGGTAGGTAGTGGTGAGGGTGGTAGGTAGTGGAGAGTGGTAGGTAGTAGTGGAGGGTGGTAGGTAGTGTTGGAGGGTGGTAGGTAGTGGTGGAGGGTGGTAGGTAGTGGTGGAGGGTGGTAGGTAGTGGTGATGGATGGTAGGTAGTGGTGGAGGGTGGTAGGTAGTGGTGATGGGTGGTAGGTAGTAGTGGAGGGTGGTAGGTAGTGTTGGAGGGTGGTAGGTAGTGGTGGAGGGTGGTAGGTAGTGGTGGAGGGTGGTAGGTAGTGGTGATGGATGGTAGGTAGTGGTGGAGGGTGGTAGGTAGTGGTGGAGGGTGGTAGGTAGTGGTGATGGTTGGTAGGTAGTGGTGGAGGGTGGTAGGTAGTGGTGGAGGGTGGCAGGTAGTGGTAATGGGTGGTAGGGTAGTGGTGGAAGGTGGTAGATAGTTGTGGTAGGTAGTGGTGGAAGGTGGTAGGTAGTGGTGATGTGTGGTAGGTAGTGGTGGAGGGTGGTAGGTAATGGTGGAGGGTGGTAGGTAGTGGTGGAGGGTGGTAGGTAGTGTTGATGGTGGTAGGTAGTGGTGGAAAGTGGTAGGTAGTGGTGGTGGTAGGTAGTGGTGGAGGGTGGTAGGTAGTGGTGGAGGGTGGTAGGTAGTGGTGATGGGTGGTAGGTAGTGGTGGAGGGTGGTAGGTAGTGGTGGAGGGTGGTAGGTAGTGGTGGAGGGTGGTAGGTCGTGGTGATGGGTGGTAGGTAGTGGTGGAAGGTGGTAGGAAGTGGTGGAGGGTGGTAAGATAAGATAAGATTTCGTTCGGATTTTTAACACCGGAGGGTAAGCCACCCAGCATAACCCAAGAAAGTCAGTGCGTCATCGAGGACTGTCTAACTTATTTCCATTGGGGTCCTTAATCTTGTCCCCCAGGATGCGAACCACACCAGTCGATTAACACCCAGGTACCTATTTGCTGCTAGGTGAACAGGACAACAGGTGTAAGGAAACGTGTCGAATGTTTCCACCCGCCGGGAATCGAACCCGGGCTCTCCGTGTGTGAACCGGGAGCTTTAGCCACCAGGCCACCGGGCCTAGTGATGGGTGGTAGGTAGTGGTGGAGGGTGGTAGGTAGTGGTGGAAGGTGGTAGGTAGTGGTGATGGGTGGTAGGTAGTGGTGGAGGGTGGTAGGTAGTGGTGGAGGGTGGTAGGTAGTGCTGGAGGTGGTAGGTAGTGGTGATGGGTGTTAGGTAGTGGTGGAAGGTGGTATGCAGTGGTGATGGGTGGTAGGTAGTGGTGGAAGGTGGTATGCAGTGGTGATGGGTGGTAGGTAGTGGTGAAGGGTGGTAGGTAGTGGTGGAGGGTGGTAGATAGTGGTGGAAGGTGGTAGGTAGTGGTGGAAGGTGGTAGGTAGTGGTGATGGGTGACAGGTAGTGGTGGAGAGTGGTAGATTTTTTAGATTTTGCCACCGAGTTTTAGTTTAATATGTTTATTATGCACCCCATACCCATCCTGTGGGCGGTAGTCAAAAGATTACAGAGGTACATAATGGGTCCAGGGACTGGGCCTCAAAGTTTTGATGGCTGAGCACGTTACAGAGGTAATGAATTCACAATTTACAAAGGTAATGAACTCACAATTTACAAAGGTAATGAACTCCAGGTAGGTCTAGTCACAATCATGACAAGTTACAAAGGTATTAACAGATTATAGAGGTACACAATGGGTCCAGGGACTGGGCCCCAAAGTTTTGATGGCTGAACTAGGTACAAGGTAATGAACTCACAAGTTACAAAGGTAATGAATACTGTAAGAATGGTTACTTGCGTTTATACATGGCAACAATCATGAACAAATTTTAGAGTAATGAGCAATTCACACTTCCACACCCGGTCACAACTGTAGTGAGTTATTGGTGCAAATATTGATTGTTGAGTCACACACACACACACACACACACACACACACACACACACACACACACACACACCACACACACAGGAACGAGAAGCAATGAAAATGAGCAGGACCCAGACACAGGAGGAAGGGCAAACACACCCCACAGAATCTCCCACCAAAAGACTCCACCCGCGACATTCCCAACGCAACTGAGCAACCTATACTACAACCCACACACTGTTCCCTCTGCCACCAATCCCCATATCACAAACCTCACCCCAACAGCTGTCCCTTATGGGCATTCTGACCCCACCCCCATCAACACAAACCCCACCTACACCACAGCCCCATATAGGCCCCCACCTAGGCTCTCGCTCCCCCAACCCCAATATTCTTGCATGACCACAATGATAGAAAAGAAACTAAAGGTTTGGTACACAAACGCGGATGGAATAATGAATAAACATGAGGAGTGGAATGAAAGAATCAGTGAAAAATCCCCAGACATCATAGCAGTCACAGAAACAAAACTCGCTGAGACAATAACAGACACAATCTTCCCAACAGGATATCAGATCCTGAGGAAAGATAGAAGGAGTAGAGGGGGAGGAGGGGTTGCACTGCTCATAAAACACCGATGGGGATTTGAGGAAATGGAAGGCATGGACATGATTGGAGAAAGAGACTACATTGTAGGTACAATTCAGTCCGGAGAACATAAAGTAGTCATTGGAGTGATGTATAACCCACCACAGAACTGCAGGAGGCCAAGAGAGGAGTACGAAGAAAACAACAGGGTGATGGTGGACACACTGGCTGAGGTGGCAAGAAGAGCTCACTCGAGCAGAGCAAAGTTACTGGTAATGGGCGATTTCAACCACAGGGAGATCGACTGGGAAAACCTGGAGCCACATGGGGGTCCCGAAACATGGAGAGCCAAGATGATGGATGTGGTACTTGAAAACCTCATGCATCAACATGTCAGGGACACAACCAGAGAGAGAGGGGAGGATGAGCCAGCAAGACTGGATCTTGTGTTCACCCTGACGTTCAGACATTGAGGACATCACTTGTGAGAGGCCCCTTGGAGCTAGCGATCATGTGGTTCTGAGTTTTGACTATATAGTAGAGTTACAAGTGGAGAAGGTAACAGGAACTGAAGGGGACAGGCCAAAACTATAAAAGGGGGGACTACACAGGTATGGAAACTTCCTGCAGGGGTTCAGTGGGACGAGAAATGGTAGGAAAATCAGTAAACGAGATGATGGAATATGTGGCAACAAGTGCAAGGA